TATTTATTGGCATTTAAAGGGAAGGAGGGTACATTGATTTAAAGAAGTTCCAAAACTGGATCCTTTTCATTGGAAGTCTCTTGTAAATAATGTTTCTGTGTTTTTATCATTGCAACCAGTTTTTTAAATTATTCATTAGGTACTTTGGGAAATATAGTAATGCAGCCATCACAAATCTTGTATGTGAACATTGTTTTCAAAGTCCAAAAAGCAAATTATTATTTTAACTTATAATTCAGAGGGCAATTATAACTTATATATACATTTGAAAACATTTTTATAACCTTGATATATGTGGAAAAGCCTGAATGTAAAGTTCAATATAACGACTCTAGTATGGTTTTATAAACTAGTAAAAATTGTGATATTGTGTTGCTTTAACAAATCTTAGAGAGGTAGTTATGGAATCAATATCCTAAGTTATATTTTGGGACTATAAACATAATAAACCTAGATGGTTGGCAGAATCAACTTTTTTCTTCTAATATAAATGAGTTAAAATATGTATTTGATATCAACTCTTAAAGAAATGAAATAAAATTGACTAAAAGCATTAACATTTCTCCTACCCACAACTGTCTTCTTATTATTGCCTTCTAATTACTATTTCTTTCATATTTTAGACAACCCAATGGCTCTCCTTTCTCACAAAACAAGGGGAGAAAATAAATCTAAGTATTCACTATAAGGAATTGTTATTTTTCAAATACAACAGAATCCACTTTGGTAGAACTTCTGATTGTTAAGATTTTATTTAACTTCAATTAAATTGCAATACACATAGTAAAGATAAAGCAGGAGTATAAAATATCCAATGTGCTTATAAACTTATAAGCTATATTAGTGCATGTGTTTGTCAAAAAATTTCTGGGTATGTATTTTTTATTTCCATTTATTTCTTTTCCTTTCTCTCTCTCTCTCTCTCTCTCTCTTACACCATCATTCCTAAACTTTGAAGGATTTGGAATATTCTGGGTCAATTTCTCATATTTCCTTTGTGTAACATCCACATGTATTATGTATGCACCCATAATAATACTTATTAAGATTAATAATTTATGGGATTGATTAATCTAAATTTTCTAATGCAAAATCCAAGTGCCAGTGTTTGTTAGCTCCAATTTAACTAAGTATGATCTGGGGATTTTTATAAAATGATTTTAAGGTCTCATTTCTTAACAAACATATTAAAGTGCCTGCAAGTTTGGGCTCGACTTTGGCATGTTTTAAAGGTTCTTTGGGGGACTGTGATGTACAGTCAGATTGAGAACCACTGAGTTAAGAACAAGAAAATTAAAACAATTTCCTTGTAATTTTGATGTTGCATCTTTGTGAAAATAAGTAAAAAATTTTCAAGTATCATGGTGATACATCACTTTGAAATGTTTAATGATGGATTTGTTTTCTGTAAGTAGTGATAAAAACAGTGCACACTGAATTTAAGGTTAGAAAATGTCGTATTGTGACAAACAATACTAGTATGTCTGATTTTCTTAATTTAATAATCATTTCTTGTTCATATACTTCTAAGAGTACCACAATGACAATTTTAAAGATACATAAAGCATCTTCTTCAAATTGCTTATTAAACAAAGGAGCACATTGATACATCTTTTGCTCCATAATTTATAATTTCTTAATTTCAAAACCATAGATGAAAATATCACATTAAATGATTATGGTCTTTCTGTTTACATGTATTTTACACAAATTTACTTTTACTAATAGTACCTTGAAATGGCAAACGCAGCAAATAACCCATACGTTCATGTTATGAATACTTCTCAAATAACATACACAAAATTTTATATGTTCTAAATTATTGACTAAGGCAATACAACAACCTGACATCAGATAAATTTTTTGGCTAAACTCTGAAAGGAATAAATAAAATTAAAACCTGAGATGTGAATCCTTCAGGTGATTTCTGATTAATATTCTGTAATTCTGGAAATTTTCATTAGCACATATTGTCTTGTTTCTTGTTTTCACTTCAAACAGTACCACAAAAATAACCGGTATGTTATATATGACTTAATTTAGACTGAATATTTTTTAAATTTTAAACGTATGATACAATAAAAATAGTGTCATACATTGTAAGATCAGATTTTGCATTTTTCAGACACAAATATATCTTGTAAAGAAACCCAAATTTTCACTATTAATTCGTCATTTCTCATCTGTTACATTTTAAAAAGAATGTTCTTAATTTATAATCAGCTGATTTTCCAAAGTCAAAAATATGATTTCAAACTTTATTTCCCTTTTCCATACTATTTAAATACTGCCAGAAAACAATAAGTAACCATAGGAATCTGTTAAAGTGCCAAATTGTCCAAATATGAATTATATTTAATTGCAACAGTAAACTTATAGGCTATCTTCAAATTAGTATTTGAATTACATATAGTATAGGTTCAAAATAATACTGATTGCTGTATGTGTCTTCAATTTCTGCATTGTTCTTAAGTTTTTATGTCTATAACGTGAATGTAATTGCTTCATTGATTTCTTAAAGTCCCAACGTTATGCTATAAAACAAGAATATTTTAACTGAATTCACCTTTCAAAAGTTGTACTCATCTCTGTTCACTAACATGGACAGTCAAATAGCAAACCAGAGCAAATGAAATTTTGAAAGTTATGAATCAACTCAGAGCTTTTAACTTGTTTTCAACTCATATGTATGTCCATAAGGCTCTGAAGCATCTGGGTGAAAGTGAAAAATAGTTATTTAGTACTTGTTATATATAAATAGTTCTATGGAACTGTTCTGATGTTGAACTGAACGACTCATTCTACCCAAAATGTTGTGAATTGTGTGAAATAGCAATGTGTTTGAGCCAACCTGGGAAAGCAGGTCATCTGCTTGGGCATTTCAGATAGCTTTATTTTTACATTCCAGTAGTTACAGAAGGCATTTGTTTACTGTTCAGATGCTTTTCTGGTCTTCATAATTATAACCACAAAATCTTTATAAAATAAACCTAGCTGCAGCTCCTGAAATTGGGGAAGAGGAGTTTTAAGTCAGTTAGTGTGATTTTAAAGACCTGTAAAGTTGAGTGATCTTCCAATTGATTAGGACTGAAACTATTTCAATTATTCTCATTACACTTAGAACCACTTGTTTATTAATTTTGAAAGGAAATGTGAGCCAACCTCTTAAAAATAAAATGCAATCTACTAATTGTGAAACTTTCTGGGATTTCCAAGTAAGTTGAAATCAATTTACATCTTTAAAAATCCCGATTGCAGTGAAAAAAAAAAAAGCATGCACTGAAAATTAAAAGCCTCAGTTTGTAGTCAGAGTAAATAGATCCTTGCCTGACAGAACTCCACAGAAATACTGTTAGATGATAGAAAACAGCTTTAAGAAACTAAGAGTATTGCAGTGTACACTCTATTTGGAAAAAAAACCTGAGATAAAGAACTTTCTCCTCCTAAGAAACCTTAAGGTATATAGGTGGGATTTCCCATGATTCAGAGAGGAACTCTTACTCACAGCACCCCTCCCCCCAGCCACTCCACTTTAAAGCAGAAGATAAAGTTTAAAGAAAAAGGAATTCTTCATCAATCAATGTAACTGATCGAAACAAGTTTTCCCTTCCGCAGGAATTATGTATGACTAAAAGACAAAGATTATTCTAACTGAAGGATTTGGTCATCTCTTGGTTTGTAAAGCAGAAATCTCTGAAAATAGCCCTTTGATGCAAAAATAAGTAGCAAAAACAAGAGTTGGTGCTTTAGTTTTCACAGCACCACGAGTTTGTTCATTCCATTGAAGCATAGCTTAAAATTAGTCAGAAAGATAGCAAGTAGTAACACTGGTGTCGAGATTTGAGTGTGGAAAGTCTTAACCTTTGGACATTTGCAGACATCTTCTGGTAATAAGGGTATTATTATATTTTTTAATATAGTTGACTTGTAAGGTCGCGAAACAGTGGGGTGTGCTTTCCAATAAATACTGGCTGATTGTAAAGCAAATTAAAACGGGCTGTATTCGGAGAACATGCTCTGCCATCCTCAGTTCTTCGGAACAGTTAGGTTTCTGAGAATTCTGGAATTTGCTAAACCACGAAGTACAGAAGGAGGTGCTCCTGCGTGGGCTCCTTTTCTCTCTCTCTCTCTCTCTTAGCTTTGTGGTTGTTTCTGAGTTTCTTTCCGGAATCTACTATTTCGACCCGAGCGCCAAGAGTTCTTGGTAAATTGCAGGGGAGGGGGTGCGGGGTGGGGGGTGGGGGTGCGTGTCGGGGGGGGGGGGCAGGGAGGAGAGGGTGAGGCAGAGCAGCCGCGAAACGTGGGCTCGGCCCCGCGCCGGGGGCGCCGCACACGCGGCCGGCGGGAGGAAACACGTTGCCCCGCTGCGTGCGTTTCGCTGTCTCGCCCCATCCTGGCACTGACTCATCCCGCCGCAACGTCGAGCGTGACTCCCGGGATCTCTGACTTCGCTTTGGCGGCCGTGGGCGCGGGCGGCGGAGCCCCCACCCACCCATCCACCCACCTCAGTGCCCCCACCCCCCACCCCCGCAGTCGCACGCGGGGCCGGGAAAAGTCCCCCTCGCGGCGGCCGCGCCCAGCGCCGGGGCAGCCCTCCGGCCGCCGCCGCCGCCGCCGCCGCAGGAAGCGTGCGCTTCCCGGAGGGTGTGCGGCGCGCGCGGGGGGCTCACACGCGCGCCGACGGAGCTGCTTAACGGAGGGCGTGGCGGGAGGCGTGGCGCGAGGGGTCCCGGCGCGGGCGGGCGGGCGGGCGGGCCGGCGAGCGGCGAGGGGGCGGGGGGAAGAGAGAGCGCGGCCGGGGCAGGGCGGCGCGGCGCCCGCGAGCGGCTCCCGGCTCCCGCTCTCCGGGCCGCCCGGGCCGAGTCGCCGCGGGGGCGGGGCCTGCGGTGATTGGCGGGCGGGCGGGGAGGTCGGAAGTACTTTGTTTTTTATGCTAATGAGGGAGTGGGGCTTGTCCGTATTTACGTTGAGGCGGGAGCCGCCGCCCTTCATTCACCCACATGGTCCTTCGAGGTTCCGCCGCCGGCCGCCCGGCCGGCCTGCGCCTTCGCGCCACTTCGCGCCCTGGGGCCAGGCCCGCGGGGCCGGCCGCGGACCCCCGCGGCGCCGCGCCGCGCCCGTCCCCGCGCCCACCCCACCCCCGCGGCGCGGCCCGTCGGCGGGGCGGCCCGGCCGGCCGCACCCCCCCACCCCGGCCTGGCGGGTTGGGGGGGGCTGGGGTCGTAGTAGAGCGGAGGCGGGTGGGCGAGGCGGGCGCGGCGGAAGATGGTGGCGGCTACTCCTTGCCGGTGAGTCTGGCCGCCCCTCCGCCGCCGGAGGGAAACCTGTTGTGTGCGGGCCCGGGCGGCCGGGGGGCGCCGGGGCGGGTCTCGGGGGGCCGCCCCGCGGGGGGCCGCGGCGACGCGCCGGCTCGCACGCGGCTGGCCCGCCGCGGTGGCGGGGGGTGGGTGGGTGGGTGGGGGGCAGGCGTGCGCCGGGGCCGGGCGGCCAGGGGGGCGGCGGCCGCGCCCGGGACCCGCACGGACCCCAGCCCGGGGCCGGCCGGGGCGCCCGCGCGCGCCGCGCACACAATGGCCCCTCGGGGCCGGGACGCGCGGGGCCCCGCGGCTCGGGGGCCCGGGACGCGGGGGGTGGGCGGGGGGGCCCCCTCGCTTCGCCCCCCGGCCGGCCCGGGAAAGTTTGTCCCGGGGGCGAGAGTTAAAGCGCCGCCAGAACAAAGCGGCGGCGGCGGCACATGGGGCAGGCCGCGGGGCCGGGAGGGGGCGCGCCCACGAGGTACCTGCGCGCCGGCGGGAGCCCGCGGGGGCCCCCCCCAAACTTTGTGTGGGCGCGGGGGGCGCCGGGCCCCGCGCGGCCTGGGCGCCGCCTCCCCGCCCCCACCGCCCTCGGCGCGGCGCCCCGTCCCGCTCGCTCGCGGCCCCGCGTGGGCTTTGTTAACCCCCCGCGTGGGCGCCGGCCCCGCGCCCAACTTCCCGGTCCCCCGGGGGAGGGGTCCCCTCGCCTCTCCTCGCCTCGCTCGGCCCCGCAGGCCCGGGCGGGCCGCGCCGCCGGCGGGGGCGCGTCGGGGGGCGGCGCGGGGCGCGGGCCGGGCGGGAGCGGCGGCGGCCGCGCCGCCATGTTCCTGCGGGGCGGGCCGCGCGCGGGGCCGAGGGCGGGGGACATGGCGGCGACTGCGCGCCGCCGCCGCCGATTGTTCAGGCGCTAGGCCGCGGGCCGCGTGCGACGGGCCACCGCGGCCGCCGAGCCCCCGCCCCCTCGGGGGAGGGGGGAGCCGACCGGCCGGGGGACACAAAGGAGGGGGCGGGCGCCGCCGCGGCCGGCGCCGCGCTGGGGCCTCGGGCTCCTTCGCCGGTTCGCGGCGCGCGGCCGCCGCCGGGAAACGGGGAGTGTGGAAGCGGGCGGGGGGCGGGGGCGCTGCCGCGTCCGGCAAGGCCCCGCGCGGAGGCGCCGCCGCCGTCGCCGCCCCCTGGCGGCGGCGCGGGGAAGCGCCGGGCCGCGCGCCCCCTTGTGCGACATGTGCTGCCGGCCTGGGCTCTCGGAGCGCGGCGGGCACTTGGCCCGCCTTCGGGGCCGGGGATTTCGGGGGGCGTCGCCGCGGCGCCCCCTCCGTTGCCTCCGGCGGCCGCGGCGACGGAGCGCGGGCTCCGCGGGCGAGGCGCGGCCGCGTGCTGGCGCGGACCGCGTCAGTTGGGGAAACAACTCTTTATGCCGGCGCGCGGCCACGAGGTCTCGGCGGGGGGAGGGGCGGCGGCCGGGAGTCCCCGCGCCGCCGCCGGGGTCCCGGGAGTGGGGTAGGGGGGCCCGCGCCACTCCTTGGGGAGCTTTTTAAGCCAAACCCGAAAGCCAAGTGAGGTTTTCGCTTCTATTTTTTACCCCCCTCCAACTTTATGCCGGATCCCCCACCACCACCCCCATGCGTTGTTGGCCTTTTCCAACCCCACCAAGTAGTGGCCTGGCTGCTTGAATCCTCGGATTTGCAACGTGGATGGTATTGATTGGCCTTGAAGGGGGTGGGAAGAGCAAATTTTTCAGCCTGGACTTGAAGGATGATAGTAATGCTCAGCCAAATATGTTTGTTGCTCTCCCTGTCCCCCATCCCCCCACCCCTTCCAGCCATACACGTGGACCTAACTGCACCCAAAGCTTTTCTAAGAAGCCTTGCGGCCCCTCGAAGTCGGCTCCAGTTGGGTAAGTGGATTCTAATTCTTTCTAACTACTTCTTTAAAACAAGTTTCTCTTCGCATTAATCTTTTAAATTCATAGAATTGGGCTTCCAAAACGCAAAATAGGCATTTTTTTAATACTTTGTACATTTTTGCCTCTTTCAGAAAAGTAACTTGGTATGGGATATGTGTGTGTGTGTGTGTGTATATATATATATATTTTTTTTTAACTTTGCTAAAGGGTATAGCGAACTTCAGACGCTTTAGAAACTACAGCAGTTCACAACATGTGACTCTCAGAACTGCTTTTACGCTTGGCTGATTGATAAGAGGGTGAATACAGAGTAAAATTTCAAGATTTCATGTTAAGTTTTAACGTAAGCGCTACAGCCAGCCAATACACACAGTGTGTTCTGGAGAGTAGTTTTATTAATTTGCTGGGTATTTGCTAATTGGACACCAGAAGAAATGAGTGTTTTGCCACGTGGATGTGAAGATGTCTCTAAAAGGTATGAGTCCAATTGCTCTTGATTTTTCTCATTCGCACGCAGTCTGATTTTTGAACTTTTAGCATGCCTTTTTAACAGAGCAGCCACTTTGTTTAGATGTATTGGAATATTGGTGGCTCTGATTGCCTTGGATGAAGAAAGGTCAAAATGTGTTGCTGCTAATAATGGAACTCAACAGGTTTTAGATAAACTCATTTTCCTTTTAAGAATCATGCAAAATTTTGTGTGTTTTATAGGTGTAATGAAGTGGGGGTTTCTAATTATTTATTTCAAATTTATCAGGAATACAGAGAAACTCAACCTTGTAGAGCTGAAGATTGTGACCAGTCAGAATAATGTCAAAGTGCTTACAGTGCAGGTAGTGATATGTGCATCTACTGCAGTGAAGGCACTTGTAGCATTATGGTGACAGCTGCCTCGGGGAGCCAAGGTGTGCCTTCATGTGCAGGGCCTGCTGGTGTTGAGTGCTTTTTGTTCTAAGGTGCATCTAGTGCAGATAGTGAAGTAGATTAGCATCTACTGCCCTAAGTGCTCCTTCTGGCATAAGAAGTTATGTTTTCATCCAATAATTCAAGCCAAGCAAGTATATAGGTTTATAATAGTTTTTGTTTGCAGTCCTCTGTTAGTTTTGCATAGTTGCACTACAAGAAGAATGTAGTTGTGCAAATCTATGCAAAACTGATGGTGGCCTGTTATTTCCTTCAAATGATTCTTTTAACTAATTTGTGTACTTTTATTGTGATGTAGAATCTGCCTGGTGTGTCTGATGTAACAGCTTCTGTAGCACTAAAGTGCTTATAGTGCAGGTAGTGTTTAGTTATCTACTGCATTATGAGCACTTAAAGTACTGCTAGCTGTAGAACTCCGGCCTCGACCTGTCTCCCAGTCAAACTGCCCAGTTACTGAACACTGCTCTATGGTTAGTTTTGCAGGTTTGCATCCAGCTGTGTGATATTCTGCTGTGCAAATCCATGCAAAACTGACTGTGGTAGTGAAAAGTCTGTAGAAAAGTAAGGGAAAATCAAACCCCTTTCTACACAGGTCGGGACCGGTTGCAATGCTGTGTTTCTTTATGGTATTGCACTTGTCCCGGCCTGTTGAGTTTGGTGGGGATTGTGACCAGAAGATAAACTGAAAATGGTACTGAAGATTCCGACCACCGCCCCTAAGTATTCCAGAGACGCCAAGTCCGGAAAACCTTGTCAGTGCAAGGTTACTCACATTGAATTCCAAGTTTGTCCTTTTTATCCTAAAACATTCTACTCCTGAGATTGTATGTTCTTGAGATTCTGTTGTACTTTTTTGTGTACTTACTGGGTTATCAAGTAATGAGTTGATTGGACTGATGCATATGATCTGTAGAGTTAGGGCCTGCCGTTTTGCTTTCTTTAGTTCAGAATGTCTTACTTGATCAAAAAGTAAATTTTACTTGCACATTTAAATAAATTTACTTAATGTGTAAAGGGGATTTTCTGTTTTATATTTTAAAAAATGAAAATAATTTTGGGGGTGATTGTCTTATTTCTTTATGTATTTTGCAGTGTATTACAGCTCAATTAGCAAGTGATTAACTGGTTAAATATAGTTCTTTTTAGTTAATTATGCCTAAATTGGTGGTCTTTAGCCTCTGGAAGTTTAAAAAAATCAAAAGGAAACAGTACATGGTGATGCTAATGGAACGATAAGTGTATGTATGTGGTACACTTCTAAAATACCAGAAGTAGAGTACTTGGGTGGGAATCTGAAATTAGAAATCTGAAAAAGAAAGTCTGACTTACATTACATGTTCTATTCCTTCCAAACTTGGATAACAATGATTTTTGATTCTGATTGGTATGACAAGTCACTGAAGTGTGACATGTAAGAAGTAGCTGTTTGGGGGGCAGGGGAACACACCCAGAGGCACAGCTCGGGAATCTGCCTCTGGCTGTACACGGAAGACCTACGGGGTGCCATGGATCAGACCTGGTGAGTGGTGTGAAGACCAGCGCCCTACCCACTGTACTCTCTCCAGCCCCTACAGCGTTTCTGTCTAACAATTTTGCTTTGCCTTTAATGGTTTTTATCTCTAGCCTGTTCTGTGTATGTAGAAACAAAGCTGCGTTAATTAAAGGAATGATCATTTAAAGACCAATTGAAATCCAAATTGGATCAGGTTGTGTTTCAGAGGAAAGTTGGCTAGTTAAGTATGAAATGTCTTTGTTACTTTTACATATTGCCTGGGAAGTTTAGAAATATTTTAAATGGTCTATACTGTAAAATCTGACAAGATTTTTATTTTTTATCCCTTTAAGACTGTAAGAGGCATATTCGTGAAACTGAGTAGAAAGGTAAGAGGTCCACAGTTTTGAAGTTTCATGCGGTAATCATTTCTGGAATGAAGATTTGGTCTTTTAGTTCCTTTGACTTGAAGACAATCTAAAAAGTGGTTTTGGTTAATGACAGTTGTTAAGCCATTCAGGTGATCTTAAGGTCCTTTAATTTTTTTCATGACTTACAGAATTTCAGGTGCTATATTTTGTATGTTAGCCAGTGTCTCCCTAAACCAAATGATTTTACTCTAAACCTTTGGGGAAACTAACATTGTCAAAGGTAGGACAGTGATAAGGTAAGCTTAATTTTTATTAATACGCCAAAATGTGCCAAGTAACTTTGCATAACAAAGTGAAAGTACATGGTTAGTTTTCCATAGATGCCCAACAGCAAAGCTTGTATTTAGGATGCAGTTGGACTTTTAACAGAAATATCTGTTCAGTAAACACATTACTAGAAGATTAATAGATGTCTAATTTACTTTGGTTGGGAAGAGCCTGACATTCCAGTGGGAAGGGTTCATTAGAAATTGTGCTGGTTTATTTCTGGCTTTAAAATTTGTGGCCAATACTGCATTGTTAAGATTTTCTTAGGTCTTGACTAGTTTTTCAAGCATCACTAAAAGGCTGTATAAGTGAGGTGATTTTTGCCTTTTAAATTCAACCATTTTGAGATGAAAAATTTAGCACGTTGATTGTAGCTAATGATTGTCTCACTCTGAGAAAAAATAGCTCTGACCTTTAGTGTTTTAGCCTTGAAATTGCTTAAGACTTAGGTACTGTCGCTTCAGATATGATGGCCTTAAAGCTGTTTTCAGGAAAAGACCTTTGTGTTTTGTTATGCATGTAAAATATCTAGCCTGTGGTTTATGGGAAAGACTTGAGGTTTTCAAAACTGCCTGTGAAGTTCTAGTGTATTTATGTTGTTTTGTTTGATTGACTAAGAGTTTTCAGATCTTCATTTTACAGGCAATCTTGTTAAGCATGCAAACCAGACTTTGGATTTTTCCCTGTAGTTTGAAGATTTCTGCAGGATTCCTGAATTCAAGCTTGCCACAACCTGGAGGACAATTGAGTCGCATTTAAAGTTCGTTATGTATATGAGGAAATACTGTTATGTTGGTAACTTAACAATCCTGGTATGTTTATCAGTACTGGTTCTCAGCTGGATACTCCTTGTGGATCTCGGGATATTTCAAGTGGAAATCATAAATGGGAAGCTGTGATGACAAGGTTTTTAGGGCCAGAAAGGGTTGAGAAACATGGAGAATTTAGAACTCCATGTTGGTGACAGTGGATAAGATTATGCTTAGTTGAGAAAGGGCAACTTTTTCTTTGTCTTGAAGCTGACTCTGTTTTAAAGACTGAGTTAAAGCAGTTAGTTTTCCACTTTGGTAAGTTAATCAGGGTATATTTTGTTGTAAAGAGTACTGAACTGGAAAAATTGGTTTAGGGCTAATTTTCTTTTTCT